TTTCAGATCAGAATACACTATTATATAAACTAAATATCTTAAACAACTATATTATCACTATTTTACATCGGTAATTATATTTAAATTAAACATCCCAAACTAATAAATAACCCCATTTTACATCTGTCACTTATTTAGTTCAAAAATGGGCATCGTCATGTCGTAGACAGTGTATATTTGGTTGCCTATACACATGGCTCACTTAAACATATTTATAAAAAAAACTTTTTACATTTATTCTTATGCTAAATTCTTAAAAATACCATCATATAAATATTTTTTAACTAGTAATATTGTTTATATATATTATTAATTATTAAAATCATAATATATTATGCTAATCTACTTCACATTTATTATTATCTCACTCAACATATATATATATATTATATATATATATATATATATATATATATACACACAATTATACACTGTGTGTGTGTGTGTGTGTGTGTGTGTGTGTGTGTGTGTGTGTGTGTGTCTGTGTGTGTGTGTGTAGAAATATGGGACCTCAAGGCTGTTTGACGGTTCTCGTATTTCTGGAGAACAAGATACTGGTACGTCACCAGTGAGGGATGTAGGCAGATTAAGACCCCGAACTTAAGCGGTACCATATCAATCTTAATAATCGCTCCCAAATGGGTGCCAAAACGCACAATTTTAAATTCTCAACGCGGTTCTTCTCGAGGACTTAGTAATTTTCATATATATAAATCAATATAGTAGGTATATATATATATATATATATATATATATATATATATATATATATATATATATATTTATATATATATATACAGTGTAGGTAAAATTTTAAGGTCGGTATGGTAAAATTTAACAGGATATCTAACGCAGATATAAAATCATATTTTCAACGAATTAGACAAAGATAACAATCATATTTCCCCTTCGTCTCCCCTCCTAAAATCCTTTTAACACTCATTGGCCATTGCCCATTAGTGAGACGATTAGTTCCGATCAGATATTCTCTGGTTCCGATCCTAATATACCTAAAAAACTAGAGGTGGGTCTTCTCGTTTTTTTAATTTTTATCGGAACCGTTTTTCGTAAACTGTAACTAGTTGATTGTTTACCAGTATTCAAATTAGCGAGTACACAAACATATTAGCTATTATCGTTTATGTGTATAAGTATTGAAATAAAAGAACCTAACGAAGGATATATTTATTGTAACTTGAAAAATAAATTAAATAATACAAATGGTACTTAAATAGTTACATTTACATTACACATTATTAAATCGCGAATCGTCTAAATTGACATTTAAAAACATAAGTTTTTCCACTTTTCTTGTTAATCGCGTTCTTCTTTTATTTAAAATTATACCAGATGTTAAACATGTGTTCACAAGGAAAAGATTTTGTTACAATACTACAACATTTTATGAATATAGTGGTTAAGTTACGATATACATGGCGATGGTTTTTTCACCACGGTAATGGACAGTTCCAATCTCCGTTCGAAATTGTTTGTGGGTAATATATCATCAGACAATTACATGTCGACTTCTTTTATACCTCTCGATACAGGTGTATGTTTAGATGAGTCATGTCCAATTAATTCATCAAAAATACACCATGGACTTAAGTCATCTTTATCAGTTTCTTTTTCTTGGACTGATTGATTTTCAAGATTTACTAAACTTTTCGTTTCATCCGTTTTCCATAGTTAAAGAACCAGCTTTTAAAAAGTTTGCAGGGTGGATTCCTGGATATAAACCGCCAACAAGAAAAACTTTGTCAGGTTCATTACTTCAGGAATGTTATGTCAAAAGTGAGCAAATTATTAGATCGCAAGTTGTTAAAGAAGTAGAAAATATCTGTATTACTACTGACCTCTGGACATCTGGAGTAACTGAGAGTTACTTCGCATTAACAGGACAATATTTAACCGAAAATTTAGTATTCAAAACTTTTTTATTAGGCTGCTGCCATTTTTCTGGAAACCATAATCCAGAAAACAGCGATTACTGAAATTATTAATCAGTCGGGTCTAAAACGAAAAGTAAATTTTGCAGTAACTGATAATTCCTAAAATATGGTCAAAGCTATTAAATATGTTTTGTTTTATGATGATTGTGATTTATGATGATGATTAAATTTATTGGTGGGGGACGCACTTAAATGCTGTCGTGTACAAATAGATAAAATAAAAAGTCCTTTTTTCGACAATTCTGCAAAAAAACACATTTCAAAAAAGTACCTTATCTTCAGAAAGGCTTTTAAAGTATTAATTACAACAGAACACAGTTCCCAAACGGCCAATCCAAGACGTGGAAACTAGGTAGAACTTCACCTATTACATGTTAAAAAGAATGACCGAGTTAGAAGAGGCAACCCGTTCCACATTGGTATTAAATAATACAGACTTAGACTTAAACCTAATCTAAATAAAGAACACTGGATTATTTGTTCTCAACTTTCCCAAATTTTACGGCCGTTTAAAGAAATAACAAGTACAATGAGTGACCAAAAATACTTGAATGCTAGTTCAGTGATTGTTATGGTACGCTGCCTGCAAGAATCTTGCAATAAAATTTTAGCAAACGGCATACTTACATCCATAGTATATGACATAGTACAATTACTAATATCGGGTTTAGCAAAAAGATTTAGAGGGATAGAACAGAGTGGCACATTGTCATTATGTACATTTATGGATTCACGATTTAAAGTGCAGAACAAAACAAAAAGTTAAGAAGCTGGTTACTTCTATAATTAACGAACAAGAAGATTGTACTATTGAAAATCAACCAGTACAAGAAAAAGAAACCAATAAATATGACTTAAGTCCATGGAGTATTTTTGATCAATTAATTGGAGATGACTCATCTACACGTACACCTGCATCGAGAGTCCATTACAACGGTGGAAAAACCATCGCCATGTATATCCTAACTTAACCACTATATTCATAAAGTATTGTAAATGTGAACACATGTTCAAAATCTGGTTTAATTTTAAATAAAAAAGAATACGGTTAACAAGAAGTAAAGTAGAAAAACTTATGTTTTTATGTCAATTTAGACTATTCGCGATTTAATAATAACGTGTAATGTAAATGTAAGTCCGATTTACTATTTGTATTGTTTAATTTAGAACAGAATATTTAAAACAGAATATTTAAAAATTGGAGGAAATACCACAGATCTGAGGCTTGAAAACGCAGTCATAAAAGGCTGCAACCAGTATAAATATCTAGGAAGCATCATATCAGCAGATGGCAGAGTTAAGATAGATGTACAAAACCGAATAACCCAAGGGAAAAAATGCATCCGAATACTGAATTCATTACTGTGGTCTAATAAAATAAAGATGCATACCAAACTTCGCGTATACAAAGCAATTGTAGAACCAATTACCACATATGGTGCCGAATGTTGGACGATGACAAAGAATGAACGAGATAAAGTAGACGTTGTGGAAATGGATTATCTTAGAAGGTCATGTCGAGTATCGAGAATGGAAAGAATCAGGAATGAGGAAATACGAAACCGTACAGGAATTAGAGATACTCTTTCAGATAGAATACAAGGAAGGCAATTACAATGGTATGGTCACGTGATGAGAATGGAGGAGGAGCGGTGGCCAAAGAAAGCCTTAATGTATGTTCCGCCAGAAAGAAGGAAAAGGGGAAGACCACCAAATTCCTGGAGAAGAGAAATTACAAAAACAATGCAATCTAGAGGCTTAGAAGAGGGAGATTGGGGAGATAGGAAAAGATGGAGGCTGAAATGCGGGAAGCGGCAATCGCCGTAGGACCCCCGTTATATGATGATGATGATTGTTTAGTTTATTTTTCAAGTTATAATAAATATATCATTAGGTAGTTTCTTTCACTTCAAAAGATATACACATAAACGATAATAGCCGTTATGTTTGTTTATGTAGGTACTATCTTACTTGAAACTACTTTTAAACAATCATAGTTACTTGTTTATGAAAATTAAAATTTTTAAATGCTTTTTAGCATTCAAAAAAATTTAAATTTTTTTGGAATCCTGAGAAAACTAACAAATATTTTTGAAAAATTTAAATGCAGAATGAAAGATTACATTATTACCGAGGGCCGAAGGTCCCTTAGAATAAACAAAAAGTTTTTTTAATGAGATATTTGAAATTAAAAATCACACTAAATTTTGTTTTTTTTTTCATCCCTATAACTTATTAAAATAAACATTATAGAAGTTTTCAGGGACTTTCAGCTCTCGGTAATAATGTATTGTTTCATTCTGCGTTTAATTTTTTCAAAAATATTTATTAGTTTTCTCAGGATTCGAATAAAATGAATGCATTTAAAAAACATTGGCCCGAAATTTTGCCGCTACGCTCTTAACGATAAACTAGCACGACCCACCTCTACTTCTCGTTACTCGATCTTTTGACCAGACGACTATCTAGACTAGACGTTGCCAAATAAATTAGTGTATGAATATTTTTTAATTTGGCGTTATTGTATGCATGTTTAATTGTTTATTATTTCATATTGGGAAATTATTTTGATGTTTAGATTTTTAGTTCGGAAATCGTACTTAAAATACGAAACATTAATAAATTTTATTTATATAAAACGATTTCCGAAATGGAAATCAAAATGTTATATTACAATTATTGTAAAGAAAACTTGTGGCATATTCCCAATAAAAAAAACAGTAACCTGCCATTTAAATCAATTTCGCCCAAATTTGATTATCTTGAGCATTTTATCTTCTTGATAGAACATTGTTCAAATGCAAAAAAAGACAACAGGTCAAATAAAACCAATAAGTTTGGCAACGTTGAATTTCCCCTTTTTTAATATTTCCATTCGGCGATATAAAGGGCGTACCTAATATACCTCTCTCTTTTTAAACAGCTGTTTCTCACTCCATCTCACGTAAGGTCCATACCGACCATAAAATTTTTTCTACACTGTATATTTATATTTATATATATATATATATATATATATATATATATTACCAAATAATATTTTTTTAGTTTGTGAGTATTTCGTACATGTGGAGTGCCAGGATTTTGCAGTAGCTGACTGTAAAGAAAATGCAACTTATCTTCCGGGGAAACAACTTACCTTTGTACGCCATCAACATCACTGGCGCGAAGGAAATCTTCCAAGCAATTCCAAGTGTGCTCTGTGCAAAAAGACGTGCTGGACTACTGAATGTTTATCCGGATACAGATGCGAATGGTGTGGAATGACGGTAAGAATAAATTCTGAAGTTGAAAATATTATTCTAAACTCAATTTATTTACTTACATCAAATAAAATCTTTTCGATAATACAAATAGTACAAATAATTGACTAACTTCCTATTTATCTTCGTCTTCTTCTTCCTCATTAGCTTCTCCCTTTTTGGGGTTGCTGTTCCTTACTGTTGCTTATGATCCTATTCCTTCTAGTCTTACCCAACATTCACCGTAACATTTCCATTTCAGCTAACTACATCTACTTTTTTTGGATCATCTTTACAGGCCACACTTTACCGTTGTACACCAACGCAGGTCTCACCATACTCTTGTATATCTTTTCTTTCAGCGCTTTCCCGATTTTTAAATCACAAAGTAACCCGCTCATTCGCTTCCAGGTAAACCAACCAGCCTGTAGGATGTGGACAAATTCTCGATCTAGTGTCCCATTGTCTGTTATGTAGCACCCAAAATATTCAAATTATCTTACTCGTCCTAGCTTTTCGCCGAGCAATTCTACGTCCATAACCATTCCTTTCAATTCCAACCACATACACTCTATTTTTGACCTGCTAACTTTAAGTTCTCCCTCTTAAATAGCCCTTCTCCAACACTTCATATTTCTCCGCCAACATTTCTTTGTACTCCTCTGCTAATACGATATCATCAACAAAGAGCATTGACCAAGGAGCCATATCCTTAGTTCTTGTCTAGGAAGTATGTCATACGCCTTCTCAAGATCTATAAATATTAAATGTAGTTCTCTTTTCTTCTCGCTGTATTTCTCTATTACCTGTCTTAATGCCAACAAGGCATCTGTTATCCTCCTTCCTGACATACACTCAAACTGTTCGCCTCCTATCGATGACTCTCTCCTTAATCTTTGCTCTACAGTTCTCTCCCAAATTTTCGTTGTGTGCAACATTCACTCTATCCCTCGATAGTTCTTACATTCCTGAATGTCACTTTTATCTTTATACAATTATATCATCACACTCTCTCCATGCTTTAAGCATCCTTTCTTCTTCATATATGCTATTCATCATTTACCACAAAATAGCAACCCCTTCCTCTCCTAGACCCGTTCAAATCTTCACAGGTATTTTATCAGGTTCTTCTGGCTTAGCGTTCTTCGTCTTATTTAGGGTATTGAAAACTTTATCTCTTGCTATCTCCGGTAATACATTTTCATTTGGGATCCCGCATCCTCTGTTTCTCCTCTAGTGTTTTTTATTTAGTAACTTACTAAAGTAGACATACCATATTTGCTTTATTTTATCATTGGTTTTTAACATTTTACCAACCGCACTCTTAATCTGCCGCACGTGGGTCAAGTCCTTTAATGACTTTTGTCCCTTGATTTAGCTATGCTGTATAACCTTTTCATCCCCTCGGGTGTTTCAACTCTTTATACAGTTGTACAGATGATCCTTTCTTACCAGTAGCTACAGCGTGCTTTGCTTTCCTCTTTGTCATTTTGTATATATCCTTATCTTCCTCTCTTTTAGACCTGCCATGCCTCTTTCTAGCCTCTTTCCTCTCTCTTACCTTTTTTTGCACCTTATCGTTCCACCATCAAGTTTTTTTTGTCTCTAAGAGCCCCTCTACCAGATATTTTTCCAGCACTTCCTATTTCACTTGCATCACAATTTTACTGTTGGTTTCCCACCAGTCATTTACTGTATGTTTTTCCTTAAGCTCTTCCAGCACTCTACTTTTAAAGACTATTGGCAAATCCTTGTTCTTTAACTTCCATCACATTACTTTCTGGTGTCCTAATTGCTTTCCTTTCCGCCTCACCTTTACCTCCGTATCGACTAACATAAACGCTACTATAGGTATGTTTTCGGCCTTTATAAAGAACGTATTAATGGCAACCAAATCACATGCCACTGCAAAGTCATCACACTATATTCTTCATTATTTCTAATTTACATCCCCAAATCTCATTGAACTCTTTCTATTCCCGCTCTTTCTGTACGAATATATTCATTGAAATGATCTCCAATAAAACACGTTTTATCTATAGAAATCTCAAGCATCTCGTAATCAAGGGTCCTCCAAAATTCTTTCTTTTTCTGTTCTTCACACCCTACCTGTGGGACGTAGGGACATATGATGTTTACGTTGATATTGCCTGTATTCAGTTGAACACTCATTATTCTCTCACTTCTTCTGCTTATACTTACAAGAGGTTTCTTCCATTCGTTGTTTAAAATAATACCTACTCCATTTATATCTTAATTATTCGAACCATGTTAACTTGCATCCATCTTCAAGATCTCTCGACTTATTACCTTTTCAGCGAGTTCCCTTCCTTTAACTGTCATGCTTCCGATGTTGAGAGTTGCAATCTTAGACAAGGAAAGATAGAGGATAGGTAACGTTCATTTAATAAACTTTTAAAAAGTGAAGCCAGTTTCGATGTGACCGCCATGTTTTGTGACTGTAAGTTGCCCACTATTACCTCTCGAAGGGTTACCAGTTGTACTGATTTTTCAGTAGATCTACTGGTTTCAACTTGAATTTACTGTTTTACTGAAACAGTACGTATATCTATCTACTAAAAAATCCTACTACTACTTGTCGGTTTTTAACGTTCTTCGCCGTTATCCGACTTCCAATTGCCACTTAGTCCGGTTGTTCTATAAGTCTTCTTCTATGGCCCTCTCTCTCAGTTCTTTATTTTTTCCTTAGCTCCAACTTTTTCTCAGTGTACCTTGTTTTCTCTTTACTTCTGGTTGCCATTTTAATATTTCTTTTGGTATGCGTTGTTCATCCATTCTTTGAATGTGTCCGAAGCAGATAAGTTGTTTTGTTGTTAGGTCATCTGTGATTGTTCGTTTAATTCCCATTATTTCTTTAATGTGTTTGTTGGTAATCTTTTCTCTTCTAGATCTTCCCCTTTGATATCTGTAATCACAGCAGTGCTTTATTGTAGTATTATCGTCCAATATGGGATCTTTTTGTTCTACTCCAATGCACAGGTATTTTACTAAAAAATACGTAGTGATAAAATTATGTTCAAAAAATGATCCTTATCTCAGTGTTCAATTATAAATTTTCTTCTTTGGTCCAAATTAGCTTCTTTGGCATCTTCCGTCCTCTAAACACTACTATTGAAATTTTTAACACTATAAAACACAGATATGTCACGACGAGCTTTCACTACCTATATGTTGGAAACTACTTACACAATATAATTTATGAAAAATGGTTTATCGGGGTTTTAAGCTATGGCGAACTTAAAGAAAATACTTTGACAAACATGCCACTTCCGCTTATACCGGAATTGAACTTTGTAACTTTATTTGGAACAGTCTATATATCATTAGATTTTCAGACTGCATAAAATTCTAGATAATATTTCTAAAAAGTACTATTAGTCAAAACTTCATATTTTTGAGTTATTTATCTTTTTTTTTTTTAATTTTTACAGATGGAGACAAACTTTTTAAAGTTAATAGCTCATACATTTCCAAACATATGGTCTCAAAGACTTATGCACATAAATAATAGGTTACGTTCTTTCGGGAATTTATATCAAAATCGAATTGCTAACTACAGGGTGTTTATAAATGATACTACATTTTTTTCAACTAAAAATGGTAGTAAGTCAATAATTTTTGATGAAATATCCTGTATATTATAATTTTTATTTAAAAAGAAATAAGCTTTCTTTCAAATAGTATTAAGGTTCCCTATACTCAAAGTTAATACTTTTGGAGATAATGGTGATTTAATATTGAAGATAAGATATTGATTGTTTTATTCTAGCAGGCCGTGTATGAATATGTCGTAATTGTCATTACGACAAAGTGATAGAAATACCTCTTTAAGAAACACACAATGAAAAATGCATAAATTTACTTTTAATATATGGAGAATTACAGTTTTTACTATAACATGTGCTTTATTTGCTACATGATATGCACATCAACCACGAACTAACCAAGACATTGTGAAGAGATTACTTAAAAATTTAATAAAAGGTTCTTGGTTTCTATGCTGCTTATCCCAAACTAAAAAGCTTAAACTAAACGAAGGGTTTTAAAAGCGAATTACAAAAAAAAATGTATCGCTATTCTTACACCACAGTTCAAAGTTTGAAAGTAAACGGACTATAAAAGAATAGAAGTTGTAACGATAAAAGATAATGTGCATTTTCGAAGAATATTATATGGTGTGACGAATCAATATTTACAAAAAATTGAATATTTAATAGGTACAATTTGAATTATGTAATGGAGCGAAGTAAATCAACATTTAACAAGAATACTTGGTTTTCAGGAACCGATAGGAGTTTAATATATTTTGTGCGATCAGAGACAACCCAGCGTCGACCGGTCAGGTGAAGTAGGTGAAGGTGAGGTTCACCAAAAAAATATAATTAATTAAGACAAATAAATAAAAAATAAAAGCAACATTATTATATCTAAATTCTATAAAAAGCACACCAATATCTAAAACTGTGAAACTGCAACACAAATATCTTTTATACTTATGTACACGCGCGAGGTCAAAAGCACCGACTACACAAATATTAAACTATATCTCCCAAAGGCCAAATAAAAACTGAAATAATATAACGAAAAGTCGCTAAAGGGAAAACCGCTTGGAGCATTCCAGGAAGGTCAGTACCATAGATAAATAATATAATAGTAGAAATAGATAGGCAACTTAATGTATAAATTTCGTTCATTAGGCCCCTTGCGGCTGGGGTCAATACTAATCATCTTTTGACGGCAAATTCGAATGAACACCCCTTACATACATACCCTTTAGCGCCTCTTGTGGGCTATTTCGTTACTAATTAAAATTTATTGGAAAATAAGGATATAAGATGCACAATTTTTTCTAGATATACGTATATTTATTTGTTGTTTAAGATAAAACAGTTATAAAATAATTACATAATATTTATTACACATATTTGCAGAAGTTAAATACTATTATTTTTTGCTTCCTGACAACTTACTATCATTCTTTTTGTAATTTTTCCATGATTTGTACA